TTTCAGCCGTTTGTTAAATAAGAAGCATTCATTTTCAAAGTATGAAATTTAAATTAAATTGCATATTTGCTTTCCAGTAGTTATTAAGCACACCAAATACTGGCATATGGTCATGATCGTTGAGTATAAAGTTTGAATCGAATTCATTAGCATTAGATTATGAGTTTACCTTTGCCAGAATCCAAATATGCGCTTGCATTTACGATTTTTTTTAAATGAACCAAGGGAGATAACTTATTTTAAAATATTTACTATGTTCATTTTCCTTTTGTTGTAATACACCAAGGTTTTTGAAAAGTGTTTTGTATTGTACATCCTGAATTTTTATGATGGATTCCATGTAAGAGACATGATGTCTTTCATTCCAATTCCAGATCATAATTTCTATTTTGGAAAGGTTTATCTTGACTCCTATTGTTTTGGAACACTTGGTAGAGAGTGTTGATTTTTTTTTTTAAGATAGATGAAAAAATAGGAAGAGTTCAAATTTTAACAGAAAAGAACTAGGAAGATTTTAGAAGACTGCATGATTCTCCAACTGAAATTCACTCATAGTCATTAAAGAAAAAAAAAAAAATGACAATTTGGGATTTTAATGTTGTCTCCTAACGAGGGCTGTAAATTGTAAAGAAGGAGAATGCCGTAGAAAGCATGTAACAAATGAAGTTCTAAGGAGAATATAAATTACAAAGAAACTGTTAGTAACAATAAGAAACAGTTGAAAGTTTTTGGATGCATAATGAAATAAGAAGGCTTGGAGAATTTAACACTCACAGGGCCCATTGAAGGCAAGAGAAGCAGAGAGTAACCAACTTGGCAAGTTTGATCAAATGAGAACAAATATTCCAAAGTGACAAAAGAGAACATGTTGCTGAGTGCAGCAAAAGACAGGAAGATTGGGAGAGCCATAATCACTGTCATGAAAAGACATTGTACATAAGTGAATGAGACTTAGGGGAGAGAACTCAGAAATAGCTTAAGAAAAATAAAGTTTTTGCAAATTAATAATAAAATTTCTTGGCAAATTTTATGCCTACAAAAAAAAATTGGTGTATCAAGAGGATGATCAATCCATTCTCACTGCTATTATTGTATACACTTTTGATTCCTTCAGCAATGTTTGTTTTTGATGATTAAAATTTTAATAAAATCCAAACATGAAAATGGATTTATACATTTTCTTTATTATTGAGAATTGATAACAATAGTTCATTGACATTTTTATAAAATTATGAATAAGAAATTTGTTTTTATATTTATTTATAAAATGTTAACTAATAAATATTGTAGTTGGTTTACATATTTTGATAATTTTGTAATTTTTTATAAACTTTTAAATTTATTTCTTATAAAAGGTAAATAATAAATATTGTATTTGGTTCACATATTTTTCATAATCTTGTAAATAAACATTTCCAGAGGAGCCAAACGTGTATACAGTAATAGTGGTGTCACAGGTTTTTTTTCGCAGACACAAAAGTTAAACATTACCAATTTCTTAAGCATGTTGGTTTTTTTTTTGGTTTTTTTTTTTGCTTAGTGTATATTTCATTTGTGACTTTTTTTCTCTTTAAAAATGAAAATTCTGTTTTGTGAGGTGGAAATAGGTTTAGCTATTTTTAACAATGCCAGTTTTTGCACAAATTTTCTCTGTGACAGTGAATATTCAACACTCATCTCATAGATGATGAGGAGACATCAAGCAACATATTCAAGCAAGATATTGTTCTGTTGATGAAGACTATGCTAAGAATAACTTGGACAGAGCATGTGAGCAATGAGGAAAACTTAAGGGAAAATAAACTACAAGAAAATTTTTACTTACAATCAGGAAAAAAGAATAATTGAAATTTAAGACACATCATAAAGAACAAAATTCTGTAGAATCTAACACTCAAAAAAAAAAAAAAAAAAAAACATAACAAAATCATGGCGAAATGGATAGCAGAATTGGGAGAAAAAGAAATATCTAGGCTGGAGCTACCCAAGGTTCACTTTCCAGCCTTGACAGCGTTCAAAAGTATTTATATAACCATGTGGGTTATTTTCAACCCTCTTGGCCCTTTTCTATAGAAAAAAAAAGGTCATCAAAATCTATCACTACTGCTATTTCCATGGCAAATGTTCAGACATGTTATATTCTTTAACTCCACAGGTTCAGATATTTATAGCTAGGACATGCCATATCATATACACAGGGTTGAATCATCTTCATTCTATTTGTATTTCATTGGTAAGGAGGAAGTTCCACTCAGACAGCTTCTTCTCAAGAATGGTTACTTTGTGGAACAAACTCCTGAGAGGTTGCTTTTCTGTTCACTACTATCTTAATCTCTTCAACTCTAGCATCAACTGTTATCTATTCTATGTATATGTATAATCTGCACTAATTTCCTCCTCTTACATTCATACAACAACCTCATTCAGTAACTCTCTTTCTTGAGTGGCTCTTGGGCCCTGTATTGGGTGAATGGATGTGTGATTGGTATGATGGACATCAGCTCAGAATTAGGAATTGGAAAGTTGAGTTCATTATATTCACTTTCGCATCAGTTACCCTTGGGAAAGTTATGAATCCATATCTTCTCCTTCAGCTATGGGGTAAATAGTTGGACTTTGTTAATTCAATATCAACTCGCAAAAAAAAAAAAAATTCTTACAATCCAAAATATGTTTTGGCTTTAAATAATGTACAAAGTGTTAAGATGTAAAAAATATGTTGGGTGAATATATAGTTAAAAAAAAAAAAAGGCTCAACAGTTACTTAGAGCAACAATAGTTTTGGAGATCCAAGATGCCCACATTCTAAAAGAACTTGGTACATAAATAAAGAACAGATAGTATATCTGTAGAGGAACAAAATGAATAAAAAGACAAGAAGAAAAACTATTCTTAGCTGACATGTTTTGTCCTCTGAAAGTCTTTATCAAGGCAAATGTAAGATTTATTTTGTTTCACATGTTTATATACAAAAGCAAGGATGTCATTGGTTTATCAAGGCTCTTAAATTTAAGAATGTTCTGAAAGTTCATCAGGTGGTTAAAAGATCAGTCAAAATATGTGGAGGACGCAAAGAGTCATAATTCAAAGTCTGGCAAAAAGTAAGCAAGTAATACTCAATAATAATCTTTTCTTTTTTTTAAATGAATATTGTTTAGATTGTGATTAGATTATTATGGTATGCGGCGGATGTATATGCTGTACATTTCCGAAAACATGAGATAATGGATTTAACTGTTTTCTCAACATATTTGTGGTCATGAATGTTGGCTTCAGAAAGTAGTAATTCTTTAAGGAAAGGTGAGATTGAGAAAAAAGTCAGGGTGTAGATTTATATTTCGATAAGATTTGATTATGGCACTCTCAAGAATTTTCCTTCTGAGTAAATTACTTTCTCTTTTGATGAGTGGCATTTTTTTTTTTTTTTAAAGATCAAAATTGTGGTCGAATTTATTTCTGTGTATGGCTAATGGATTTGATAAATTGTTATGTAAAAGCTCCCTTTTGTGTTCATAGAAATGTTTTTTTTTTTTTTTTTTTAAATTCTGCATGTTTCCCCAATGTGGTGTGAGGAACATTTTTGGCAATTTATTTTTTATATGCCTGCTTCTGAAGTATAAATTATAAATTTATTGTCTGAAATTCTGAGGTAAGAAACCCACAAGTTGTTTGTATTAATATCCTTATGCCTGTTGATTTTTTTTTTTTACTACCCATATTTGAGCAAGTGTAGAATACATTTGCTGAAATCTAGTAATAAACTTACTGGTGTATCTCCTCTTAATTTTCAAAACTGCTACTAGGAGACACTCTCTGGATGATAAATACTCAGCAATATTTTTTTTTTCACTCTCTTCTCATCTTATCTGCTAAGTCATGATTTTTTTAGTGACAAACTTTTTTGTACACTGACAATTTTTATAACTTAGAAATAAATTTGGGAATAATCAAAATTAATAGTGAAATCCAGCAAAAGTCACCCATAAAATAAAAATAATTGTTGAAATTGTCTTTAAATTAAGTGGCAGCAGAAGAATTATCTTTGAATCGTTTAAAAGCTAAGCTTAACTATTAATGCAATACTTAAATGCAGTGATCAATTTTGAGTTCTGTAGTTTATTGTTGCCTATCACATCTACTCTTCCTTACCTGTTGTGATGAAGGGCCAATCAAGAGCCCTCTGCAGGAGCTAGCTTGAATGCTGCCTGATAGCGTGGCTTTTAAGTTAGTATGTATGTATGTATATATATATATATATATATATATATATATATATATATATATATATTAGAGAGAGAGAAAAAGAAATAGACAAGAGGAAAACTTTTCTTTACTGATTCATTTTGTCCTCTGATGGACTTTATGAAGGCAAATGTAAGGATTTTATTTTGCAACAGATATTTATAAACAGAAGTAAAATATGATTTCAAAATTTTTAAATTTAAGAATGTTTATAAATATTTTAATGGCAAAAAACATTTGTAAAGAAAATTTTTCCTTTTTATCTTTAGTCATATTGCCTTTTTACTTGTATTTGAAATTTTACACACACACACACACATATATATATATATATATATATATATATATATATATATAAAAATGTCTACCTACATTCAACAGGTGGTGTGATTTAAATTCATTCACCATCATATAAAACGTCCCCCAAATCAGCATAAAGACAACCATGAAATATAAAAATGCCCGCTAGATGTATGCGCACACACACACACACACACACACACAAATGAATGCATGTTATCATCTGAATCTGACATAGACAAACTAGAATTATGCTACACATACATATGAATTATGCATCTGAACACTGCTTGACAGGTCAGATACATGTAAGGTTTGAAAAACAAACAACACAAAATTAAAAATACATTTTCTGATGAAGATTAAATAAAAGCAAAACATTAAATTCATAAACGTTTCCTATTTGCTCCTTATTCTATCATAATTTCTGTTTTGAAACTTTTTTCATTTTCTCTTAGATCACACTGCCAGAATTTGGTGCATTGAATCTGGGGTGACTATGCAGCAATATGTGGGACACCAAGGCTCTGTAAACTCAATTCGATTCCATCCCAATCAGGACCTGGCCCTGACAGCATCTGGAGACCGCACTGCTCATATATGGAAAATGCAGTTCACTCTCCCATCTCACTTGGAGGTCATGGTGAGTGTAAATAATATTTAAGTAAAAAAAAAAAAAAAAAGACAACTTAATACAGTTGCATACATGTGTTCAATCCTTAGAAAATCTCTGAGAGTTAATATATATATATATATATATATATATATATATATAATTATTTATTTAAAATATGATTCCAAATCGCTACATAAGAGGTCTCATGTTTCAAAACAAGAGCCAAAAAATTCAATATAATCCTTTAAAAAAAATTGAGTTGAAGATGGAATGGAGCCCATTTTACTTTCAACTCAATTTAATTTAAAGGATTATATTGAAGTTTGAAACATGAGATCTCTTATGTAGCGATTTGGAATCATATTTTTAAATAAATAATTATATTTATGCTCTACTTTTGTATCGAGCACTATTTTTAAAATAATAACTAAAATACTAAGGGACTTTGGATTATTTACCTAACCAGTTCCTTCCTATTTTCTATATATTTTCACACACACATATATATATATATACACACACACACACACACACACACACACAGGGTGCAATGGGTAAATTGTTGCCATTTTATATTTTTAATTTTGAGCATGTGCATTATTTGTTTTTGATTTTGTTAACTGCACAGTATAATAGGCTCAGTTGGGCACTGTCTGAGAAAAAGAGCACCATGACACAATTCACTTTGCCAGAAATTTGGAAACACCAAACTTTACTGCTTGGCATTTACACTGGAAGCTCCAATACAAACATTTCAGAGTGTTTGGTGTCAACCTGATGACAGTGCAGAGGATTTAGAAAGATTTGGATGAGTCTAATGGTGATTCGAAGGTGCTTGGAGTGATCATTAGTGATGGTGACATTATGCCTCTATCCATCTTCCCACAGGGCCTCAGATTGAAAACAGTCTACATCAAGTGCCTTGAGGAGGTAGTGCTGCTACTTGGGTCAAGAGAGTGCTGAAAGGCCCTATGTCTAGCAAGGGGACTCTACACCATGCCACACAAGCATGAGAACCCAATCATGGCTGTCTGGCCACTGAACTCTCAGACTGCAATTCCCTTGATTATTATGTGTGGGGCTCCATTGAGCAAGAAACCAACAAGACTCCTTGTAATACCAAAGATGAACAGAAGGCAAGGATTATGAATTAAACAAGGAGACCATCCAGGAGAGTTGCAGGTGATTCCGAAGTTATTTCGAGGCTGTAGTTGAAGTCAATGGCGATTTTATTGAATAAATTTATTCTTAAGTATTTCAAGATATTTTTGTGTAATTTTGGTAAATATATCTATTAAAATGAAATGTCAGTGTTATTTTCATTTTTGTGTAAGTTCGATGACAATTTATCCATCGCACCCTGTATATACCAAACATAGAAAGACATATCAATAAATCTGCAGCCTAACAAGGTGTTATAATAGTGATTAGCTGAATTTTTATCTGAAATTTTCACTGTATAATGTTTGATCTCTACAATTAATAGCCATATATACTGACAAAAAAAGAGATAAAAAAAATATTTGTTGCATAACATAAAGGCTGTTTTTTCTATAGATTTATTGATGCACTTGTGTGTATGTGCACACAAATAAATATATATATATATATATATATATATATATATAAGGAGGCACGGTGGAGTAGTGGATAGCGGCTCGGATTGAGAAAATGGAGATCTAAGTTCAAATTCCATTCAAATCCATTACGTTCACTTACGTGCTAATACCCTTTGGTAAATATATCTGTTAAAATGAGATGTCAGTATTATTTTCATTTTTGCATAATTTAGATGATAATTAATTCTCCTTTGAAAATTGTGGAACATATTCTTTTAAAGGGACCTTTTTCATCCAATACTTCTTTGGAAAGATTTGTTGGAACAACAATCATCAAAATTGCTCATTCAGTTTGTGATTCAGAGATTTTAAAATTATTTATAAAATTAAAGCAAGAAATACATTGCCTATTAAATGTCTCCAACTCAGATAGGGCCCAGATCTACGTAGCCTGACTAACCACATTAATTTTATTTCATTCTTTTTTTAGTTACTTTCTTTCTTTGTTTTTTCTTTCTTTCTTCCTTCTTTCTTATGAACAATATGAATGAAATGTATTTTGGTCAATATTTTGTCACATGGGGTTAAAACAATTAATCTTGGATTCAGCTGAAGTCAAGAATAAAAACGACGCACGACAAAAAATTTTTGTCGCTTTGAAATAGATACACTTGGGCTAATCCCAACAAGCCCAACTGCCAGAGTTGCCACTGAGATATATATATGTATACCTAAATTAGTATACTGTTGCATACATATGTTTAATCCTTTGAGATCTTTGTCAGAGTTTTAAAAAAGAAATGTAAATAAAAATGGTTGGAACAATATACTCTGAGACAGAGGTTGATGTGATAAATAGCCAACTACTTCAGCCACCAATCCTGCTTAATAACATGTAGTCATAACAGAGGATCAAAATACTTGCATTAACGATTGTTTGTAAGACTACCTTTTAACATTGCTCTATAAAGTTTCCTCAACATTTCTGAACATGTGCACCTGTGTGTACTAATGCACTCTGAAAGGTTGCTGGGTGCACTCCAACAGAAAAGTAATTTATTAATTATTTTTATAATTAAAAAAAAAATCTTTATTTTTAAAAAGCTACAGACACTCAGCACATGGCCTGCATGCCAAAGTCAAGTCTTCATTTGATATGTTAACTTGAATGCTAAATTCTTTAATCTTTAAGGAGTGGATTTTGCTTTACTTGAGGAATTTAAATCAGTCATTAAAATCTCTGTAAAAAAAAAAGCAGATTCCTCATAAATATGCAAACTCTACTGCTAATCTTTGGGAATGCTAAACTAAAATTTCATAACTAATTTTTTCTTATTAAAATTATTTTTATATTTAAAAGTCTTCATTTTTTAACAAGCTACAAATAGAAAAAATGTCTTTCATGTCTAAGGGGAGTTTTTTGATATTTTAAACTGGATACTAAATTTCTTAATTTTTAGGAAGTAGAATAATCCTTTCCCTTTTCCATACCCCAAGGAATTTAGCCATTATCAAACTCTTTAAAAAAAGATAGCAGTTTCTTCCTAAATCCCTTTAAATGAAAACTGCTAATCTTTGGGAATGCTAGACCAAAACTTTGTATTTTCAAGTTTCATGGCTAATTTTTCCTTATTAAGATTATGTGTGCCCTAGGGTTTTAGTTATTCTAAAGGTGTGCCCTAAAGTAAAAAAGGTCAAGAAACATTGATCTAGGTTCTGTTGACTTTTGGAATCATTCCCTAAGGTATCATTCCCAAAGGACAATAGCAGAAGAAGCTAAAAGCATGACTACACTTGTGCTGTGTAAATTTCTTTAACTTTTTCGTAGTGTCTCTTATATCCTGTAATAATAAATATAAAATGGATGCAAGAATGAAAATATGCAGTTGAAAAAAATATGAAAATTAGGATATATGGTTTTGCAAAACTTAATAAAATCTTGGGTTTCTTGCCCCATATGATGCATTTTGATAATCCTTGTTCTGAAGATTTTCTGCTTATGGCCATATCATGATGAAACACAGGTTCTTGTCTGACCATCAAAATTAAGCAATGCTGAGCTTGGTCAGTACCTAGATGAGTAACCACTTGAGAATACCAGGTACTGTCAGCTTAGATGTTCAGTTGGTATAATGGATAATGGCTCAAAATGAGAAATCACCTCTTAATTGCTGTGGTTCCTAGGTTCACCTTGACCCTGGGTAGTAGCACCTGTTAGGGTCCCAAATATGTGCAAATAGTTAACCCCAAAGCATTATGAAAATATTAACAGCAATACATTTGACACTCAACAAAAAATCTTCATTACAAAAACATGTCAATGCAACCTGATCTACAAACTGATTTCTTACAAAAATATGTATTCTATTTACAAACCTATCCTAAAAATCTGGTCAGCATTAAATAACCCATTGAAATTCATATGCTTTAAACACAATAAACCAAATCAATCAAAACCTGAGATCTGCGAGCAGCTTCAGTAGCTTTGATGTCCAGTTTAATATAATGCTTCAAAATTGTCAAAATCTTAATTTTATCTGCCACTAGTAGCATGGCTTGGTGTTGCCCGTGCTTGATTCAAAAATAGTACGACTAATACAGCAATTGCTATCACTTGACTTAAAATATTTTTGCCCTTCCTTGCATTTAGAGGAGTGCCCTTTGCCGTGCTGATGTTGTTACATGCCTTACTTCTTGCCTATATCACACTGCCAACTTTTTCTAAGCTCTATAGTAAACATTAAATCTGTTACGAAAAAAGAACTAAACAAAATAAACACAATACGATCAGCTTTAAAAAACCGGAAAAAACATTTTTAATGGTTGACCGATTGTCAATTTGCACTCTGTTTGGGGGTTGCTCAGAGTTGAAACTTCAGATGATGACTCCCAATGGCCTCTTCATAAATCCGCTCGGTTTTTGCTAAAAACCGACATGCGGTTCAGACGCAATCTGGGCGTATCGGGTTTTTGGGTTTTATTGATTTTCCACGCTGTTTAGGGGTCCGTGGTCATGAAACTTCTGGACAACACTTCTAATGGATGGAGGGTGTCAAATTTGTTTGAAATGCGATCATTCCTTCTGTAAGCAGAATTTTTTCGAATATCGATTTTTTTCGGAACCTGATTCCGAACTCAAAAATCGGACTCTGTCATGTCCTTATGGCAGCCATTTGCAAACTTGTGTTGAAAACCACATCGAAATCTGATGAGAAATGCGGCCTGGGCGAGGTAACAACGCCCACGACAGACACAGACAGACAACATGAGAAATATAGATAGTAGATTATGACATCTGAAACAGAAAGTGATATTTATTTTGAAAATACAAAAATGTGGCACAAGGACAAGAGGAGGAAGGTTAGGCTTCAATCTGTCTTGTCTTAAACTTAGCTAGTCAAACATACCACAGTATTCCTTACACCAAAACAACATGTTCTTACTTACCATTCTCACTACAGCCATCACAATATCTTGAAGTCTCACTGAAGTCTTAACTAGTTCCCATGTCTGTTGGAGGTGGGAAAAAAAAAAAAAAAACTACTCTTAAAAATGAAACCCCAATGAATATTTACAATGATTACAAATTTTATATTTGAAACAAAGTACACTTGAATAGTATTGATAATGATATTGATATAAAATAATAATAATTTATGTGTACATGAAGTAAGTTATGAGTAATGGCTGGTTATTAGTTTTTGGGTCCACCCACATGCTTGGCTAATTCGTCAATCCCTGTTGTGGATGCTTACTCAGGCACATTTGTGTTTGTTCAATACCCACAAAGCCCACCTGTGGTTTATACTGCAACTATGTTAGAGCATTTGGGAGAGATTGCATAATCTGGTGTGAACAACAGTTTGACCAAGGCCGAACCCTTGATTGTGATGACTTGTAATTTTGTGTTAGTACAATCACCAATGGTTTCCATACAATTCTGTCATCCCAATTTCCTTGACAAGGCTTGAGTTCAAAGATGCCACATGTTGGGACCACCTCCCCAGGTCAATAACATCAAGAAGTCACCTTCCTGAAAAATTCAACTATGGTGAATTTGAACCCAGGTCTCATGGTCAAAAAGTGAACATTCTAACCACTTGGCCATGTGCCTAGTTCTTTGGAGTAAAGATCTGTGAAACAATACAAAAATAGTTTTTATATACTCTATATATATATATATATAAAAAGATATACTTGATAAGTGACCTCTAATTTTGAAAACTGTTATTATTATTACAAGTGTTTCTCTGACTGTTTTAAACAGTTAGTTAAAAAGTATTCACTACTATTTCTCTAGTAGTTTAGTCTTCAAAGTTAGGATTAGTGATATTTACCAGGGTGCCCACATTGCAACTGGATATGATGAAGTTTATAGCGGGTTTAACAGGTATACCTTGCAAAAATTCCCAAGCCACCTCAGACTTCTCTTTTTGGTGGCGATTCAGGTACTGGACAATAAACCCAGCCAATTCTGAGTGGGGAGAGGTACTGCCTGTGAAAAAGCCCCCAGAATACAAATCCTAGCCAAAAGGTTAGGATTTGTTTAGCCTCTATCTGTATCAACTGCTATTTATAAGGTGGAGATTTGCATATAAATACAACACTGACTATTATTTATCCTTTTTAATTGCTTTTGAGTGGTTTCCAAACCAAAGTTTGTGGGCAACATTTCTCTTTTATTCTGAAACATGTGCTTAAAAGATCCAAATAGAATTTATTCATTCTTTATAAAACTGATTTTCTTCATCAGTTTGTGAAAATGTGTAAAATATACAATGCTGCCCTTATACTAAGAAATTGAAAACTGCTGTCTTAAATTAAAAAAAAAAAAATGAAAAAAACAGATAATAAATTTCCATGTCCAGGCTCACTTTGTTATGGAGTGATTTCGCAGTGGAGGCTTGTATTTGTACTAAGTCGGTCCTAAAATAGGTTCGATGTACAAAAACTTTAGGAACTTGATATAATAGGTATAATGCAGAGTAATCTAGTTGTGATCGCTGATGCTTTAGCATTTGACTGTCATTCGACATCGACTGACTGACCAACTCACTCACTGAGCGACTCCTACTACTCCTACTTATTATAGGTGGGAGAGTCTATTAACTATAGAATAGGTGTGTTCCACTATAACACTTTAGCAGCCAGGGGAGGTAACTAAAAACGGAATTTGTGTTTAATGCACACTGATCTCCAATTTTCTTTGTAGAAATTGGTCATCTGAATAAAAGAAAGTTATGAAACATTTATAATGTTAATTTTATAGCCAATTTTTTTTTCTGCTAGTTGAGAGCATAAAGAATGAAAAAAAAACTGATATAAATATCATTTCTACATTTTCATTGGAAATGGACATAATTGCATTTAAAAATGTTATTAGTTATTTAATCTGCAGCTGATTACCTATTTTTGGTCGTAAAAAAGCTGATTTTAAAAATCTTCCAAAATTCATCTAATTATTGGATTTTAATAAAATTTTGTCGTTTATATAAAAGAATATTTTTCTTTTTTTAAAATCCCTCTGTTCAAAATACTGTTTTTTTTTTTCTTTCTTTTTTTCATGCGATTACAGTACACCTCTTTTTTTTTAATTTGATAATTTTCAGTTTTCGATTGATCCGTATCATAATTAGTTGTTTTACACATTTTAAAGGCAGTTCCTTAAAAAATGAATACTGAAAAAAATAAACATTCAGAGAAGTTGATATGGATATCTTAGTCTAGAAATAAAAAAAAATATCAGTTTGAAATTTTATAATCACAAAGAAAACGAGGTGAAATCTTATGCTATGCAGTTTTTGTATTTGACTTTCAAAATTTTCTTTTTTTTTGGTTCACAAAAATGTACAAAAAAAATGTGATTCTTGTACTGAAAAGTTTGGATACTGTTTTTATCATAGTATTTGGATTAATCCAATAAATCTAGAGAAGTTTTGCAGAATGTGTGTTTTTTTTTTTTTTTTTTTTTAAGAGAGGCAAACCAGAAAATGGTAACAAGTAGAAAAAAAAAATACGGGTTGGGTCTCTCTCTCTCATATATATATATATATATATATATAAATAAAAAAAGAGAATTGCATAAACGTTTTTAGTTGTAATGTGGATTTATTGAGAAAAAATATTATACTTTGTTTTACATAATTTCACGACACGTGTTTCTGGTCTGGTCTACTTAAACGTCTTCAGGTGAAAGTGGAGATTTTTACATATTATTAAAAATAATTAATTTTTCTTCATGTTCAATGTGGAATATTCTCGATATGAGACATTCTAGAAAGAAAATTCGGATTGCCAACACACAAACAGAATGTCTCATATCGAGAATATTCCACATTGAACATGAAGAAAAATTAATTATTTTTAATAATATGTAAAAATCTCCACTTTCACCTGAAGACGGTTGCGAGACCAGACCAGAAACACGTGTCGTGAAATTATGTAAAACAAAGTATAATATTTTTTCTCAATAAATCCACATTACAACCAAAAACGTTTATGGCACCCTCTTCTTTTTAATATACATACTTTTCTCTCGTTGGAACCACTACAACATATTTCTTTTATATATATATATATATATATATATATATATATATATATATATATATACACACACACACACAAACTACAGTTCAAAAGTTTGAATTTACCCATGGGATGAACTTGACAGAATAGTAAAAAAAAAAAAATTGAAAAAAAAAGCATTTAGTCATTGAAAAAAAAGAATGCAATCAATTATCACTTTTGCAACAAGTGCCAAAAATTTGTGCTGCAGTGATCAATGCTAAAAGAGGATATTTTGACATGATCAAAATTTAATCAAAAAAATGCTATTTTGCCTTTTGTTGTCATAAAATTTCTAATAAAAAAAAATGTTTCATATTTTTTAATCATGTATAATAATTTTCTTTTTATTTTAAGTAAAAAACAACTATTTTTTAGGTCGATTTAAAAAATCACCAGGGGTGGCCTCAAAGTTTTGAACTGTAGTGTGTAAGTGTGTGTGTATATATATATATATATATATATATATATATATATATATATACACGCACACACATACATATATACATACAGCCTGTCTGAGATTATTATACAAATAAAATAAACCCCAATAACTCAAAAAGTTCTGAACCAATATTTGGCAAATTTAAATTCATCTATTTCTACCCTTAGTAAAATATTTAACTAAATTTTCTGCTATTTTTAATGATTAGTTTTGAGATGTTTGGAATTTATGAAAATGGACTGACTTAAGTTAATATGCAGATTAGCTTAAGACCTCTGAAATCTAATAAAAAATTTTTTTTTTCTTTTTGTCCATAATATATGTTAAAACATGGGTAAAGGGAAGGATGTAACAACTGCTAAAAAACAGAAAATAGCAAAGTTATTGAATGAGGGAATGTCCATGGAGATATCAAAGGAGCTTTCCAGAGATCATTGAATGATAAAGAAGGCTGTTAAGTAAGTTGAGAACTTGAAGCAAAGGAAAAGGCTTTAAGAAATTGCTTCCATGAGATGAATGTAAACTAAAGTAAGTTAGAGTGAAACAACCACGTTTGACCAGCACTTAGATCTTTGAAAAGGCTTGAATTGAGGGTGTCAAGAAGAACAAAAGGTGTAGAATAATTTGTGAAGTGGGATCTCTAAAGAAATTTTTTGGCAAACTTCTCGCACTAAAGCAAATACTTTAAAGTGTCAAATTTGTGCCAAGAAATACATGAAAATTGACTTTTCTAAATTAATTTTTAAGGACAAAGCTCAAGTTACATTTGATATACCATATGGATGGGCCAAAGGATGGATTTTATCAAATACTGTTAAAAGGCAACAAAAGGTGTCAATGATATAGGCTGGAATTGCCGACCAAACAATTATTGGACCGTTCAAATTTGCAGACGAAACTCAAGTGATATTTACTATACCATATGGATGGGCCAAAGGATGGATTTTATCCAATTCCGATGTGCCTGTGGCTAAAAGAAGGCATGTGTTATGATATAGGCTGGAATTGCCGAACCGTTCAAATTTGCAGACAAACTTTGATATTTACTATACCATATGGATGGGCCAAAGGATGGATTTTATCCAATTCCGATGTGCCTGTGGCTAAAAGAAGGCAACAAGCAGGTGGCAGTGTTATGATATAGGCTGGGTTTTATACCGTTCAAATTTGCAGACGAAACTCAAGTGATATTTACTATACCATATGGATGGGCCAAAAGGATGGATTTTATCCAATTCGATGTGCCTGTGGCTAAAAAAGGCAGCAACAAGATATAGGCTGGAGGGACCGTTCAAATTTGGCAGTGTTATTTACTATACCATATGGATGGGCCAAAGGATGGATTTTATCCAATTCCGGCCTGTGGCTAAAAAATTGTTATGATATGGCAATTGTCAACCAAACAATTATTGGATCATTCAAGTTTGCTGAAAGAGTTAAACTGAACAGTACTAACTATTGTGATTTTATGAACAAGACTTTCTTTGCATTGTACAAGACTCAGTCTTGCAGTTTCTAAGTGAATGTATATTTATGTGTGACAATTCTCCTTATGTATCTTGTTTACTTGTGAATTCCTTGAGCATAAAAGATTTACAGGAGAGAAGATAATGGAATGGCCACCATTACATCCTGATCTGAATTTGATCAAAAATCTATGGTCAATTGTGAAGATTGAATTATATGAAGGTGGCAAACAGTTTAATAGCAAAGCAGACTTATGGAAAGCAATTAAAACTACCATGTCAAAAAATTGCATTTGCTGAAGTAAAATAATTAACAAAATCAATTGAGAAGGGTCGCTATATTAAAATGTAAAGGATTCAAAGACTTATCATATGTATTTGTTATTTCTTCTATTATAGGTGTTGATCACTTTTTGATGATTTTATTACCTTTTTATTGAAGTAAAATGTGATTATTTCATTTTGCCTAATAACTTCAGACAGCAGTTTTTTAGAATACATTAAATAACTTCAATAAAACACATCGATACTACCTAAAAATTTTAACTGAGCCTTTGTTTTGACATCTAAATTGATTGTTAGAAATTTACAAATTTTTAAAACCAAATTTGAATTATTGAATTTTTGCTTAATAACTTCAGACACTGTGTATTTTTTATATATATATATATATATATATATATATATATATACACACACCAAGTAAATACTAATGGACTCCAATATATGCTTCCTTGTTACATGTACTTGTATTTTTAGAACCAGTCTTTGGAAAATGGTTTGATTAATTGATTTGGTCTATTTTTAACAGTTTATTAACTTTTTGCGGGTTATTTAAAGCCAAAACATTACGTTGTGAGAATAATTTTTTTTTTTTTAAAGTAAATATTGCATTAATATTTTTTGGAGAATAACAATGATTTTTCCAGTTACAAGGCTTACTATTTAACCCATATTTGGGAGGAGATGGAGTCTACCTTTCCCAATTGTGAATGTAACAAACTTAACTGGAACTTGGTTCACTGATTTCTAATTCCAAGATGGTATTTGAAACTTGGAATTTATATATTTGCTTTTTGATTTGGTCTTTCTATGTACTAATAGAAGGCACGGTGGAGTAATGGATAGCAGCTCAGATTGATAATTCAGAGAGCTGAGTTCGAATTCCAGTTGAATCCATTATATTCACTTACATGCTAATACCCTTGGGAAAGGTATGAATCCACTTCTTCTCCCCCCAGCTATAGGTAAATAGCAGGACAGACTAGGTTTTATAGCCTTGGATGGAAACTGGTCTACCGCAGAAAGAAATGGCAACCTATTACGAGAAAAAATCTGCCTCATCAGTCATGTATTGAAAGATATCGCTTATGTGTATATAATGCATGGTACATAACTGAGTGGTTATATTTCTGAGCTGAGCTATTGTAATTATTTCAAAAATTTACAATGTTCAAACTTTTTTACTCCTCTTTGTTGTTAGAAGATGGGTATTCCCAAGTTGGCATCTATGCGGACGGCACTACAATTTACTCCTGCCTCAAAAACAAATCTAGTGTTGGTAACAAAACTAACCTGGCCGCTCGTCTTGAAATGGACCTCCAATCGGTTGTTAACTGGGGCAAGAACTGGCTGGTCAACTTTAACGCCTCAAAAACTAAACTACTCTCTATTGATCACCACAGAGATTCTTCCCTGCCCCCTATTAGAATGTCTGATAGTCAACTTCTTGAGAGCAACTCTCTGCGTCTGCTCGGTCTCATGTTGGCTGCTGACCTGAGATGGAACAGATACATTGAGTCAATTGCATCGTCTACTGCGAAGAAAGTTGGCTCTCTGTGCCGTGCCAGGAAATTTTTCTCCCCGGAATCGATACTTCAAATTTACAAATCAACCATTCGCCCTTGCATGGAGTATTGCTGCCATATATGGTCTGGGGCACATTCTGTTTACCTCGGAGTTCTTGACAAGATCCAGAGACGGATATGTAATGTAATTGGCCCTGATCTGGCGTCTCGTCTACAGTCACTCGCTCACAGACGTGCCGTGGCCTCTCTCTGTCTTTTCTACAAATACTTTCATGGTAATTGCTCTGGTGAGCTGCTTTCACTGGTTCCCAGACTCCATGAATTCAAGCGCCCTACGAGGCTGGCATCCCACTCTCACCCTTTCACTGTAGAAACTTTTAAATGTAGCCGTCTCTTCTACTCCAATAGCTTCATACCTCGCACCTCTCTCCTGTGGAACACCCTTCCCAATTACTGTTTCCCTGAGAGCTATAATCTCCAACTATTCAAATGTAATGTCAATCGACATCTCCAGTTACCTTGATCTATCCACTATCCCTCTCCTCATCCTTTCTTCTATCACTCCTATCTGCTCTCACTCCAAATCCTCTGCAACCCCCTGCATCCTAGTGGCTTCACACCTTGCTCGGTGTGTAATGCTTAAAAAAAACAAAAAAATTGATGTTGCAATTAAATTTTTGAAAATCATAAGTAGCGAGAAACCAGAAGAGATTTTGACAAGCAAGAAGTGTGACAAAAAGAAACTCTTAGAACAGAACTTATGGTTACATGAATTGACCAATAGAAAGAGAAATTGGCTCCGGGCTGAAGAAAAGACCAAGGCAAAGTTTAACGAGCCTATGTGAAAATTTATTTTGACCAATGGAAAAGGGGAGTAGCTTACAAACTGAGAAAAAAAGTAATGAGCTGATGTGAAATTGCTTTTTGATTTAAATAGGCAGAGAAAGTTGAATCAGAGGAGAGAGAGAAAAGGCAGAAAGAAGCAGGAGCTTTAGTTCGACGCATCTGAATAACGCCAGTGTCAAATTATATGCTGATATATTATCAGCCTCTCATGAGATCATGGCAATTTCAAAGAACTCTATTCAACTCCAAAGCTAAGTACCTTAAAATATATCTTTTCATTCATGTTGAATACAGCCGTATAACTTTTGTGAAAAATTAAATTCCCTTAATTTGTTTTAAACATTGTGGAATATTACTTTGTATCCGATGATTTAATATGAACATTTCCTTTTCTTGACAATTCATCGAAACTATGAACGTTAAATATTTGATTCCTTTTCCTGAAACAAGCTACTGACAACTTCAAATGTGTAAATTTGTAAATAAATTCCTTGTTTCGTTAAATATAACGCGTGTGTTTCCTCATCATTATCCCTCAATACTTCAGGTTGATGTACTAAGGAAGGAGAGCTTGTTGCCATGAAAATATTTTTAAAAAACTGATAGATGGAAGCTACATCAGTGCAGTGGGAAAGTGGCTGAAGTCGAGATGCCAGGTTAGGACTGATAATATTACAGACTCTTCTTTGGATTTTGTCAAGAATTTCTAGATATATTACTGGATCACTAGACCAGATATGGCAGCAATATTCAATGCACGTACGAATGTCAGATTTATAAATGTGCAAGATGGATTCTGACAAGAAAAATTGACTGGCATGACACAGTCAAATATGAGTGAAAGAAGAACAGACAAACAAAGGGATGAATAATCTTAGTTGTCAACATCTGCAGAATTTTCATTGGTCTAGATCTGTGGTTCCCAACGTGGGGTGCATATCTCATAGGGGGCAATTTGAGAATGAGTTATTAACAGTGAATCTTTTTCTAGTGAGCCTGAGTGAGCATTAATATATATGATGCATATACAGTATGCATCCATAAAAATATGTGTGTATGTATGTACACGTGTAATGGCATATGGGGGCAATTTGAGAATGAGTTTTTAACGGTGAATTTCTTCTAGTGAATCTGTGTGAACATTAATACATCAACTATGCATACATAAAATATTTGTATGTATTTACATGTATAATATATGAAATAAATCCTAAAGAGCCAGGAACAACCTACCTAGGTTTCACCTAAACAGATCTTCAGGGTAAGCTGGCTAAAGAGGAAATGACATGAAACAGTATTTATTGATAAAACCACTAAAAACTAATTAGCATAAAACCATGTGACAGAAGATGATAAAGAAAAAAAAACAAAAAAAAACAAAAACAGATCCTCTATTCCAATAACCAGGATTTCCTATGCCTACACCTATTTAAAATCTCATATCTTTGATTTAATAAATTATTAGGTTCATCGATTACTCGCTTGGGGTTGGTATTTTTTTTTTTTTTTTTTTTTTTTTTTTTTTAAAAAAATTAAGGCACTGGATGATTTATTTCACCCTGTTCAGATGTTTCTTGTTCTTTCTTTTATTTTTCCATTTTTTTCCTTGGCTACCAATTTGTTTTGATAGACTTACAAGTTGTGCTATGCAAGGTTTTTTCCAACCGCGTATTACTAGTAGTATAATAAAATATATTTAGTTGGATTGATGTGAGTTTGTGACCCTGGGTTTCACGCTATTTGTGATTGTCAGACAAACTGATTAATTTTTAAATTTTGGATTTATATATAGTTGTGTATATCAGTGTTTTTATGGAAGTGGGAGGAAAAATTGTCGTCGGGAGACCACTCATACTTATGCAAACAAACACACACACACACACACACATACATACATATATATATATATATATTGACACAATATTTTTATACATATCATAAAATTCTAAAATTAAATGAAAATACTATTGCATATATACAGTCTCAAGTTCTTCAGGAAAGTTAAGAAGCCATTTAGGCTTCTTCCATGTGAATAGGAGTTCACATTTTGAGGAATAAGTTTTATATGTCATGGTGGAGGGCATCAGGATTTTAGAGATGCTTAGGTTGAGGCAAGGCCAAAAAGGGTTATGAACCACCGGTCTAGATTATTCCCTTTAATTTTAGTCGTTATATATACAGAAAGCTCTATTTTTTTTCTCCTTTCAGATGGGCAATAAAAATAGTTTTGGTTATTTCCAGTTAATGGCAAGTATATTCTGTTCCTTTAGGCACCACCAGAAAAAAATACCTGTCTGATTTTGGCACTGTATATTTTGTGTATTTAACAAATACAAAACAAAGGCAATGTTTTTTTTTTTTTTTTTTTTTTTTAAATTCCACTCTTTAGTTTTTCTCTGAAGAAACAGCACAAACATTCATTTCCATTTTTCAGTATTTAATGTGAATATGATAATTTATCTGTACTATAAAAAAAATGTCTGCATATTGAAGTAATTTTTCAATTGCATTGGTTATATTATCTGCATGAGTAATTTTTGATTTTTATCTATATGCTTAACTCTATTCTCACCTGAAAGACTGAATTTATCTTTTTATCTCATTAAAAATGAAAATATCCAAAGAAAACTAACACTAAAACTTTAGACATTATAATGACAAGTAACACATTTCATTCTTAGAAGGAACTTTTGACTTTTAATAATTTTATTGATGGCGATGGTCTTACGCACACATACGTATTGTCACTATTTTATATTTTTAATTTTGCGGATTGTTTGTTTTTGATTTTGTTGACTGCACAGTTTAGCAGGGTCAGTTTCGCCAAAAAAAAAAAGAGAACTATGATACAATTCACTCCACCAGAAATTTGGAAGCGACATGCTGTACTGCTTGGCATTCACACTGGAAGATCTAATATGAACTTGTCAATCTGAGGACAGTGTTGATTACGAAGGTGTTTGAAGTTGTCACTAGTGATGGCAATATTATGTTTCCATTAATCTTCACACAGGGCCTCAGACTCAATACAGTCCTACATTAAATGTCTTGATTGAGTAGTGTTGCTCTGGGTAAAGAAGGTGGCTGCTGGAAGACCCTATATCTGGCAACAAGACTCTGCCACACAAGCAGGAGAACCCAGTCATGGGTGTCAGATAATTTCTGTCACACCTTACATCTGGTCACCTAACTCCCCAGACTGCAATCCCCTTTAATATATGTGGGGTGCCGTTGAGCAAGAGACCAACAAAACTCCTTGTAATACCAAAGATGAACTGATGGCTGGGATTATGGCAACATTCACTAACTTAAACAAGGAGACTGTCCAGAAGAGTTGTAGGAGATTCCGAAGCCAATGGTGATTTTATTGAAAAAATTTACTCTTTACTATTTAAAGATATTTTTATGTTATTTTAGTAGGTATATCTGTTGAAATGAGATGTCAGTGTTATTTTAATTTTTTTTTTTAATTAGATGATAATTTATCCATTGCACCTTGTATGTAGCATGCATGTATTGAGTACACAAGCAAAGTGTTTTTTTTTTTTTTTCCAGTTTTTAGTTTCTTCCTTTAAGAATCAACACCAGTCATTATTTCCATTTCATTTTAGTTTTCCCAGCAATTACAATTATCTTTTCTTATTTGATTTATTTAAACAAAAGGTGATATGGCATTGTCAGATATTAAAATCCTTTTGTTATAACTGAATTTTCTATCTGATGCTCTGAGACTAATTGTTTTATCTTCCAGATGTTGGAGTGTAAATTGATCAAAGAACAGATTTTGATTTTACTGTTATCTTGAGTTTTTTTAGTTTTTTTATATGAAGAATTCTGTCTTCCATACATTATTCAGACTATAATCTAAATTGGTTTTATCATCACCTTTCAGCAGAAATGTTCTTTGACCTTTCACAGGTGAGAAGGTTGTTTAGATTTGGCACATGACATTAAGGGATCACAGGTCAACATACCATACAAATAGCATAAAATAACATAAATGAAGACACTCACTCAAGTAATGTGTGCAATAAGAAATATTCTCTTGCTTATATATATATATATATATATATATATATATATATATATATATATATATATATATATATATATAGGTATACTATATTCATGGATAAAAGTGCTCAATATCAGGGATAGAGTGTATATAAATATATATGTGTATGATATATATATATATATATATAGTTTTAAGGTATGCTATACTTATGGATTAAAGTGCTCTATGTCAGGGATAGTGTATGTAAATATAAAAGTGGACTTTGAAGTTAACACCCAGTGACAAAAATCTGTTTTGTGCTTAAGTGCAATCATCAGACTTCAATGTCCACCTTCATATAAAATCTAGCATAATTTGAGATATAAGCATTACTACCTACTCTATAATTGTTAGGATATTACAATAGACCTTGCTAACCATAATGCACCATTTACCAGCATATATAGTCAAGGCAAAGCACAACATACATGTCCTGAAGATTGTGTTCAAGTATGAAACAGACTGTCATTATTCAATGTTGACCTAAGAGTTCATTTTATATATATATATATATATATATATATATATATATATATAGACAAATGGAAAACTTAGCTGATGTGTTTTGTCCTCTATGGGACTTTATCAAGGCAAATGCAAGGATTTTATTTTGTAACTTGTATTTCTATATAAGAGCAAAAATACTATTGGCTTTTAAAAGTTTTTGAGTTAGGAATGTGTTGTATTTGAATCCTTGTTGCCAACTGTTGTATCTTGTGTTTTTGAGATAACAGAGGGAAATAAATCAGGAAGACAAACTTGAAGGTAAGTAATTTAATAGAAGATTCACTACACAAAGGTACAATTAGCAATTGACCTAATGCTAACACTCCTCAACTCTGCTTAACTCTGCTTATTTACATAAATGGATAATTCTTTTAATTTATGTCTTATATGACAAAATGCTCATTGATATTCATCAGGTTAGCTGAAACACCAGGTAAGCTATGGTGGATGTGAAGTGATACAATTCAATGACTAATAAATAAAACACATTGGCTAAGATTAGTTTTCCTTTTGTCTTTATTCATGTTGTCTTTTTTGAGATATACCCTCTCTGACATACATATATATATATATATATATATATATATATATATATATAT